TACCTGGGAACCTGGGAATCGAAGGTTGCAGTGAACCAAGATCGCGCCACTGCAACTATTACTCAAGCCAAAAAATACTACAAGTTGCCAATATTTTTTTTCATTGCCAAAGACTTGTCTGCTTTTTGTACTGGATAGAAAAACCATTTTCGCTGGGCGCGGTGGCTCAGGCCTATAATCCCAGCACTTTGGGAGGCTGAGGCAGGCGGATCACCTGAGGTTAGGAGTTTGAGACCAGCCTGACTAATATGGTGAAACCCCGTCTTGGAAAAAAAAAAGAAAAGAAAAACCATTTCCACAGGTCTATATGAAAATGTGTGGCCGGGCACGGTGGCTCACACCCATAATCCTAGCATCTTGGGAGGCTGAGGAGGGCAGATCGCCTGAGGTCAGAGTTCGAGACCAGCCTGGCCAATATGGTGAAAGCCCGTCTCTACTAAAAATACAAAATTTAGCCAGCCGTGGTGGCACGCACCTGTAATCCCAGCTACTCTGAAGGCTGAGAACAGAGAATTGCTTGAACCCAGGAGGCAGAGGTGGCAGTGAGCCGAGATAGTGCCACTGCACTCCAACCTGGGGAACAGAGTGAGACTCTGTCTTCAAAAAAAAAAAAAAGAAAATGTGGGTGTGGGGAAATGATCCTATGGTTGTCTGCTCTTTTCCAGCTGGCCAGCAGTGATAGTTGAAAAGTGACAGGATGCTGATGAAAAACATTGCAGATGTGAATAAAAGAAAAAGTTGATGATCGAGTTTTGTGTGTGTATCTGACAGTTCACTGATCCAAACTTTTTTTTTTTGCTGTAAAACTGGGCTGGGCATGGTGGCTCACGCCTATAATCCCAGCACTTTGGGAGGCTGAGGCGGGTGGATCACAAGGTCAAGAGATTGAGACCATTCTGGTCAACATGGTGAAACCCCGTCTCTACTAAAAATACAAAAATTAGCTGGGCATGGTGGCGCATGCCTGTAGACCTAGCTACTCGGGAGGCTGAGGCAGGGGAATTGCTTGAACCTAGGAGGCAGAGGTTGCAGTGAGCCGAGATCACGCCATTGCACTCCAGCCTGGATAACAAGAGCAAAAGTCTGTCTCAAAAAAAAAAAAAAAAAAAAAAGAAAAAACTGTAAAACTGTTGTAGTAAGGGCTGGGCATGGTGGCTCATGCCTGTAATCTCAGCACTTTGGAAGGCCAAGCAGGAGGACTGCTTGAGCCCAGGGGTTCAAAACCAGCCTGGGCAACATAGAGAGACTTCGTCTCTACATAAACATCCAAAAACTAACAGTATATGGTGGTTCGTGCCTATAGTACCAGCTACTAGAGAGCCTGAAGTGGAAGGATAAGTTGATTCTGGTCAGTGAGCCAAGATGGTGCCACTGCACTCCAGTTTGGGAGACAGAGCGAGACCCGATGTCAAACCCACCCCCCCCGACACACGTACACACACAGATATATACACACAAATGCTGTAGCCACAAAAAGGCAATATAGAAGGAAATACCATTAATACAGCAGGAAGGATTTATAATTAGAAAGTTCCACACAGGGCCAGGCACGGTGGCTCACGCCTGTAATCCCAGCACTTTGGGAGGCCAAGGTGGGGGGATCACAAGGTCAAGAGTTTGAGACCAGCCTGACCAACATAGTGAAACCCTATCTCTACTAAAAATACCAAAAAATGAGCCAGATGGGGTGGTATGTGCCTGTAATCCCAGCTGCTCAGGAGGCTGAGGCAGGAGAGTGGCTTGAACCCAGAAGACAGAGGTTGCAGTGAGCTGAGATTGTGCCATTGCACTCCAGCCTGGGCAACAGAGCAAGACTCCATCTCAAAAAAAAAAAAAAAGAAAGTTCCACGCAGTTATTCATCAATTATGTGCTGCACCATCATTGGCATGATCAGGCTTAATCAACAAATATCTTTTATGAGATCTGCTGTGAAACAGAGGGGTCGATAAGAAAGTCCTTGCTGCTCTTCTCAGAATTTCTTATTGTCTTTCATGGCTGAATTCCTTTCCCTAACATTCATTTTCAGAATTAGATAGTAGAACTCTTTGGGGGAGGAAGTGGGAGCAGTGAGAGTTGTCGCATCACTTATTATTGAACACTTAGCATTGTTTTTTATTGCTAATTTTTTTAACTTTTTTTTTTTTTTTTTT